TTGGGATCTGACCAGCACAGCTGAACTTTCGGAGTAACCACAGGGAATGTTTTTTTAAAGACTTCAGCAGAAATAAAGAATACAATCTTCCAAGCTGGAAATTATCTGGATACCTGATGTTAAAGAAAGAACAATGAAGAAAATGATGTCTTTTCCCTGCCTCCCTCAATCACAAAAAAATAAAAATAGACACAAATGTTTCTTCTTTTTTGACAAGTCTATTTATTTATTTATTTATTTATTTATACCTTCATTCAATCCAAGAAAGCAGCTGCAGCTGCAATTGTTTACCTTGTTGGTACCCAAATGGTTTATTTTTGTGAATGAGCAGAGAAGTGCTTGCAGGAATAATTCTACTTTCCAACTGTCAAAGAAATTTGAACACTTGTCTTGCTGGATCCAAGCAGCTCGTGTTTACTTGAAACACTGTGTGGATTAAACTGAGAGAAAGATGAGATGGTTCTTGAGGAGGGGTCACAACTTTACACCAGGAGCTGCTTCTTAGTGTTTCTTAGTTTGCTTTAATTCAGAGTGACATCTACTCCAGATCACCAGCTCTGGCTAGATGACAGTAAGGCATTAAGTGGACATACCTGCTCTGCAATAGATGCCCAGAAGTATCATCTAGGAAAGTCAATACCAGAGTGGCATGTAAATGACATCCCAGAAAAATACAGCAGAGAGGCAGGTTGCCTGCCTGGAAGCACATGCAGAGCCAGGACCATCATCAGGCACCACAAGGAGCTCAGGGCAACTGCAGAAAACACTTCCTCCAGCACCAGTCAAGTGGTCAGACCATGGCCCTGGGGAAGGTGCAGCACAGAGCAGCTCCCCAGCCTGTCTCCAGGGCTGGTAATCAGAGTGAGAAAGAGCAGATGAGAGGTGAATAGACCCTTCCCTTTCAGTACAACTACTTAAGAGAAGAGAAAGAAAAAAGGAACATATAGTCTGTCAACATACAGAGAGGAGGGAACTGTGACTTTTTCTTTGAATTCACAAAGAAAGTACCCCAATTAATTAAAAACATGTATTAATTTTATAGCACTTCTATGAGTAAAATAACAAAAAATCCTAAAAATTCCCTGGGCCTCTCCTTCTATCCATCTAGGTACCATTTGCTGTAGTTCTTTGCAAGTAATCCTTCCCCCAATAAATGTGTTTGACTTTCAATGGCTCCTGCACATCAGATCATTTTCTCTCTGATGCTGCCACCTACCACTGCACTACGTCCACTTGCTCGGTGACTGAAGTGATTCTTTTTTAACAAGCTGTTGCTAAGCACTCATCTACGAAACTAGTACTACGGGGAACCATGCTTTGGCCTTAGCAAAGAACAAGCTATTGCTAAGTCCTATGAAAACTACTGTGGAAAACTTGCCCTGGCATCCCTAATAAAGCAGATTCTTTCATTTTAATTTGTCTTCCCCCTCTGCAAAACCAGGCACAATAAAACTATCTCTTTGTCAGGTGAGATCCGGGCCTCTCTGTGGCTCAAGGTGGATGCTGACCGTTGGGTGACTGAGGAGCAGGGCTGGTTTGGTTCACGGGCAGTAACTTGTGCCTGACAGTAAGGAAAGCACAGACCGTTGCAGCACCACCTGCAGCGCCGAAGTCCCTTGCAGAGCTTCTCTCAGCTTTGCTTTCACCTGGGTGATGCCCACAGCTTGAAGCAGCAGCTGACAAACATCTCCGTTTAATTAGGAAGCCCAAAAGTCAGTCCCTGTTTCAGAGGCTGCTCCTGTCCGTAGTGACCATCAGCTGCATTGCATCTCTCCGTGGTAAAAAGTCCGCAGTAGACGAGTGCCGGTGCTGCAGCGCCTGGAGGACGGGTTAGCCGGCTGGCACCGCAGGAAGTGCAGGTTTCACTGCGGAGCAGTGGAGTTCCTCCCCTCTCCAAGGCTCTGTCCCTCGATGCCCCTAGTCCCACGCTGGCTTCAGATTCGGGATATGCTTCGGGCAGCCGCAGGGTTACGGCTGCGAAGGGTTCGGTCCGTAAAACGCTAAGCTCCCGCTGTTTTTTGCCTAATTTCGAGGGACACCTGGGACTCCGTGGGGCTGGCTCGGGCATCGCCGCCGCCCTGCCTTAGGCCTCCGCGCTGCCCCCACGGCCGCCCCGACGATCGGGCGGCTCCGGCCACCTCCGCGCTCAGCCTCGGCAGGACGCGGCGCTCCTCCGCCGTCCCTGCCCCCCGCGGGATGCCTGAGGATCCCGTAGCTGTCCAAGAGACGCAGTGACGGGACACTCGAGGTGTCCCGCCTCTTGCGGGACAAAAAAAAAAAAAAAAAAAAAAAAAAGGAAGAAAAAAAGTCAAAACAGCCAAACAACCAACCCTCTGTGATACAGAGCTATGAGCGCGGGTCTGCGGATGGGAGCCACGGTTGAATACCCTCTGCACGCAGACATAACCGCAGGGTTTGTGGTGGTTTGTTGTTTGTGTTTGTTGTGTTGTTGTTTGTTTTTTTTTGCCAAAGCTGCGTTACTCCCGGCATATTGCAGAACCTCAGCAAATCCAACTTGTAAGAAGGAGGACTGCAAAGGTAGGCTGGTCAGCGGCTCCCCGCGGCGGCCTCACTCGTCCGGCTCATGGGCAGCGCAGCGCCCCGGCAGCCCAGCCTGCGGCCAGAGCAGCGTGCACGGAAGGGCAGTGGAGGCGGGGCGGAGTAGGATTTAACTCTTCTTAAATGTCATACTTTAATGGGGATGGAAAATGTGAATTTTCTGTGCATTCCAGGAACAATTCCTTGGGGTAGTGACCTTTAGCACCGATTCTCTTATGAGAGGAAAGTAGTAGAGTGTTTATCTGGATGACTGAAAGCTTTCCCTGGTGGAAGTTTATGGAAGTGTTAAAAGGGGCGGATAACACGGGCTTTGGAGGCGCTTGTCCAATGATCTGGAGGGGCTTGGAGAGCAGATCTCAGCTGGCAGACATTTAAATGGGAGACAGCTCGGCGCTGCTGCAATTTGTAGTCAGGATTCGAGACTCTCTCTCTCTATGGACTCCCGGGCAGCTCCGGGCTCCCACGCCACCCTCTCCACCACCCGCCGGGCGAGCCCCGCAGAACCCAAAGCCCCCCGCCGAGGAGCGCCGCCGACAGCGGGTCCCGCCGAGGAGCCGCCGCCGCGCAGGTGAGCCGGGACGGGACGGGGCGCGCTGCGCGCACAGCGGGGGCGCAGATGGGTCCGGCAGCTGTGGAGGTCGGTCAGTCTCTGTAGGAGGCAAAATTTTAAGTTCTTTATCCTACCTTCAGGGAGAGGGAAGGGGAGGAGTCGTTCACTGGTTTCTAGCAAAACTCCAGGGCGACTCAGTTTTGCAGGGGGTGACACCCGTCCCTCCCGTCAGCGAGAGTGAGGCGGCCCGACCCTTCTGCTGCAGTGCTGGGGGTTAGGGTGCTGTTACATCTCTTTCCCCTGACAAGCACAGGGACTGCAAAAGCCCCGTTAGCTCTGCCTCTCATCTCCGCCTACAGCATCACTCCCGACAAATTGGATTCGGCGCCCACCCGAGACACGGAAAAATCCCGGCCCGGCCTCTGTACGGAGTGGGGCGGGGGCAGATCCCCAGGTGCCAGCCCCGTCTCGTCCCGTCGAGCGGCCCACTACGAGGTCGCTCAGCCCCTGACCCGCCTTTGCAAACCTCTGCTCCTCGGAGAAGAGTCCCCCTGGTGCCCCAGGAGCTCCCGGGTGCAGGGGACCGTACCGTCCGGGAGACTCGGTGTGTGTCAGCGGGATCGGGGGCCTTGAAGGGAAGGGTCTGCACCGGCAGTGACCGTGGGCAGCGCCGCGCGTTCGTCATCGCGCGGCCTCGGGCGCCGTCGGGCGGGACGGGACGCGGCTCACCGCTGCGCTCGGCGCCTCCCGCTGCCTCCTCGCCCTGCCCTCCCACCTGAGTCGGAGCCAAGGGCTTTTTATCGCCCGACGGTTCTATGTATCTGTCGACCACCGCTCCCCTTCCCTGCCCTGACAGGCCTCTCAGCCAGGCCAGAGTGACCGCAGCCGGCCCCGCCGACGCGGACGTGCCGCTCCCCTCTCGGCCCCGGGCTAGTGGCGCGACTTGGAGCAGGGCTTTTCCCTCCCGGAGGAGGCTTCTTACTTGCCCTGTCCTTTCCACTGCGACCGCCCCCGGGGGGTCAGCAGTCACCTTAGGGAGTTCGTCCTCCGTGAGGTAAACCTAGACGGCGGCCCGGGGAACGAGCGGGGCGGTGTTCCCAGCCGCCGTGAGGAGCGCCCGCACCCGCGGGGTATCGGGCCGAGCCGCTCCCGGACAAGCCAAGCCAACCAAGCCTGCGGCCTCTCCCCTCTGAAGGCCGCCGACAGTCCCGGCGCCGCAGCCAGGCTGTGCTCAGCCACAGCTACGTCTTACCTCGTCGGCTTGGGCGGTGCGGCGGGGCTGTCCTGCCCCGGCCGGGGCCGTTCTGTCCGACGCGGGGAGTGCCGCGGCGGCAGTGGGCTGGGAGGGTGTGCTGTCCCCGCGTCCCGGGAAGGTGTGCGGCCCCCGGCCCGCTGTTCTGAGCCGCAGCGTCCCTCTCCGGCCATCAGCTACGGCCTCGCTCCTAGTGTCCCGCTTGTGGCTCCTTTCGGTGACAGGATCGCAAGCGAAGCCCGTTTCGGTCATCAGGGCTGAGATTCCAGCGTTGGGAAAACTTCCTTTTCCATAGACGGAGGTTCTGAAACACCAGTGTGCGTTTGGCTCTCCCTGCTGCTGACAGGACACAGGGTTTGGTCATCTGTTTTGTGAGCGGCGACTTTCGGGTGCAGCGCCAGTTGGCCCCCAACCCCAGCTGCCCCTGAGCCCAGCCCGGTGAGCCGGGAGCTGGAGAAGCGCTCCGCTCCTGCCCCACTCTCGCTGCCCCGACAGGCCCCACAGTAACCAAGCAGCGTGCGGTGAGGCTGTATATGAATTATAAGGAGCACTGATGCCCGTAGCTCTCTGCTTCTATTTAGCATCCAATGCCAAGCTGTCCTAAAGCATTTTCTTTTTCTGTTGCCAATGCCACCCAGAAGTGCGTAACCTCTGCTGAATACTCTCTCCTTTTCAGCACGCGTGGCTGTGCACGGGAGCAAGGCTATTCCGGTTGTTTTAGGGCTCCGTGAGCAAATCTGTCGGAAGGGAGTTTTGTGCTGGGAAATGGAGCTGTCGGGCTGCGTGGACGTCTTCAGGCAAGGCTAATTCGGGTTTGGTGCCAGCCATGCCCACCATGATCTTCAGCTTCCCTGGAGTCTTGTAGGACGTCCTGCAGAAAAATGCTCACTTAAAGGGGGAATTCTCAAAGTTTCAAGGTTTTTTTTTTTGTTTATTTTGGTTTCTTTGTTTTTAAATTGCTGCCTATACTCATTACATGTCTCAAAAAGGGCCATCTCTATGACCCTCAAGAAGAAATTATCTGAAATGTAAATGTATCCAAATTCTACCAAACTGTCTTGATCTCAGAAAAAAAAATTGCAGTTCTCTGGGAACTGCAGTTGCCATGCCTTTTTTTATATTTAAAAATACAGATCTATGAACTATAAAAACATTACATAAGACTATTTCTGTAATTCATATGCAATAAGTGAGCCATAAAATTATTCTGATCCTTTGGGACATAAACCACTTCAATTTTCTAAATAGTCAGAGGGATTGTGTTTTTCCTCTTTCTTTGGCTAGTATTTGAAACCCGCCAAATACATTTTTCTTTTAGGTCTTCATCAGATTATCTTTCATGTTTTCTGTGAAGCACAGGAGCCCATGGCTCATCATGATATTATCCTAGTAAATATGGTTCACAGATGAAATTATAGGCCTGCTGAGGTCTGTGAGAATTTTGCTGTATATTTCAACAGAACCAGGTTTCCATCTAGTTGTTTTAAACAAGTTGCTTTGTGCTAAAAATTTCAGTAGTAACTTTCTGACTCTGTCTGGGAACTCACAGGGAAATTCTGTCTATGAACTGACATGTGGAGGTCCTTAATTTGCAGCAGAAAATGTATAAATTAAAAATTACATCTTATTTGTATGAAATAATAAACTTGAAAGCATATACATTTCCCTATCAATGGTTGCTAATACTGATCCACAAATTTCTTAATCTGTTTTAGATGATGAGATCTCAGCTCTAGATAATCCCCATATGAAGTGATATCAATGTTAGGGCACAATTCTGCTCCTATTTGAAGTCAAAAATAAAATTTCTTTTGGCTTTGTGATTAAGACTTTACAGATGATGAAAAGTGGAACTCAGCAGTGAAATATGGAAAGAATAGATTTTTTGAGTATTGAGTTACTATTAAAAAAAATATTAATTCTATTGTATCTCTCTGGAACTGAATGAAATAAGTGGGAATTGACTATGTTGGTTGTGGTCATCTGTTTGTTCAAAGGATTCTCAAATGAATTGTCAAAAGGATTTCTGGTTATGCCAGTGTAACATCCAGTACAGTGTCAAGTAATAAAAATTTTGCAGAAATTTGGAATATAAGCTTTTACAGCCTGATTCTCACAGCTTCTACCCAAGCTCTAGGGCTATTATTTCTGCAGAATTATGACAGTAGTGAGGAGAAAAAACATTTACTTCAGAGAGATTTCTCTTCAGTAAAACTTCGTGTATGGTGACGTTGATTTTAGTTACTTCTACTGTCCTCTTCTGTGCTCCTTTTTTTTTTTCAGTAATAAAAAGACCTTGTTTAAGAAACATTCACAACTTCTAACTCATAGATAGATGAACCACTTCACTTCCTAATGTAAGCAAAGGTGTCATCTTCTCTCATAAGCGAATGCATTGCCCTGGGACCAAAGGTGATGTAGGGTGCTTGCATTGCATTTTGACTGCTTTCCTTCCTGAGGCATACCACCTCATGTTCCTTTGTATTTTGCATTTAAAACCCTATCCTTTAAGCTTTTAATAAATGTTTAATAGCTTATTATTAGAAAAGCTTGAACTGCTGTGGGGATCTTGAAGTTCACACAGCCTCTTCTGTATTTAACCTGTATTTATCCCTAAATGACTGGATTAATTTTACTTTTAGAAGTGTTTTTTGGAAGTGACCATAACAAATGTTTCTGCTGAGTGGCTAATTTTCATTTGAATCACAACTTCTTTTATGAGAATGTAATGTAGCTTCCTTTCAGGCTGGAAATCAAATCAGTGAAAAATTACTTTCACCCCCCCCAGTTTAGGATTACATTGAAACACATGCTTGTGTTTCCTTAGGGTTAAGCACGTGGTTAATAAAGATGCATGAATCTGGGATACAGACCTTTCAGTTGTAAATATTATCATGAAATTCTCCCCAAATTCCCATCCCAAAGTACACTTCATTTTCATATGACTAGACCTTACTTGTGCCATCAATTGCACATCTATGGGGGAAAAAAAGGTGAAGCATCGTGCACCTCATCAGTTTTAAAAGTAAAAGTAGTCCAGGAATATGCATGCTCATGAAACCTCAACTAAGTTGTGGGACACTAAACAAACACCTGAAGTTTTCTGGCACTGCTTATTAACTAGCAATTTATTTTCATTTGCATGCAATTACTTTCTTTTTTTCTTTTATGGCTCTGGCACCATGTTGAGCAAATAAGTACATATTATAATACCGTATAATAGAGCATGGGTATACAGTCACCAGAGAAGTAGGAATAGTTTTGAAAGAAATCATTCTAGTCTCCTGAGAAAATAAGCACTGGTTTATAAGCCTTTTTAAAAAATATTTTTAAAGCAAAATTAAAATGAAACATGTTTAAATAACATTCAGGCTGTAATAGAAATGAGGAAAAAGCAGCAAATGTGAAGTCTGGGCAGATATTTGTGAAGTCTGGTTATTAAAATTGTGTGTTCCATATCATATTTCATTTAGATATTAAAAGCAACCCTTCCAAATTGTCTGTTGGAGTCAGCAATAGTGTCATTCTTACACCCCTTGCTTGAAGCCTGAAGCTTCTGACAAGCATAGGACATGCTGGTACATAAATATAAATGAATAAAATGAATGCATATATTTATGATACATATTGTGAGCTCTAGGAGCTCTAAAAATCTGTAGACAAAGACTTAAAAGCAACTCCCTGAGTATAATGGAACACCCCTATGATACATTTCCACTTCAGAAATTCCTTTCCCAATCCATTTGATGAGAAATGCTTTTCGAACAGCATAACATTTATTTTCTCCATGCGACTGGAAAGATCTAGTAAATGAGAAATTAGCGGTTATCTTTTATAGCAAATGGTACTGACCCTGAGCCTCTGCTGAGTCTCTAGGTGGCCCTCACAGCACTGGCATTTGGCTGCTTTCCTGCCTAGTTGTGTGGTCTCAGGCAGAGCGGATAAAGCCGTCCAGGACAGTGCCCTTGGTTTTGTATGTTTCCTGGGTAGTAACACAAGCAGGATTCTTCAGCTCAAAAACTAATTTTTTCCATACAGATAAAATGAGTCTAATAAGGGATACAACTGCAGCATTCCAAGCAGGTAGAAGACACTGACTCCCTCAGGGTTTTTTCCACAGTTCTTCGCCTTTTTAATGCCTGTACTCCTTCACAGTTTTAGAGTTTTACAGGTTGGGGTGTTTTTGTAAGTAGTTGCTCTTTTCTAGTGGCTTTTTCCAAGCTCCCATGGGGAGGGTCCCTCAGAGATTCCTTCATCTGTCTGTCTTGCTACCATATCCCTGGCTTTCAGAAAAACTCAGAGACCACAATACATTTTGAAGGGGGAAGTGTAACAGCTGACTGCTGGGCTGACTGCTGTCTTGAGCTGACTGAACAGCCTAAAGAACTCAGAGCTTTGGGAAGAGGACAAAAGTGGAATAAGGGAGGTAAAAAAGGTTGTTGCTATGCTATTAATTAGGTTGGAGCAGGCATGCAGCTTTGAAGGATCTGATCATCTCCACTTAACAGCACTTCTTGAAGTGGTCTTTTTATTGTGTGCACAAACTCTATGATATTTAAGCTCATATATGAAACTCTGTCATCCTATGTCCTTTCAATATCATCCTGCATATAATGAATAAAACTCAGAGGTCTTAAAAATTCTTAACACTTGGATTGCATCTGTATTACTTCTGTCAAGGATTCAGGGTAATGTGCGAGAAGGTGTAGTTTGAAATTATTGATGCATCTGTTTTAAACTATACCTAAATATTCTTTCATTTTAGTTACCTCACTTATTGCATATCTCAGCTTAAGCATTATTACACGCAGGTGCATCGGTCCCCTTTAGAGGTGCAGAGTGACAGATCTTGGGATGGTGTAATTCAGGCAACATGTGGATACAGCATACACATTATATACTGGATGTATACTATGCAAGAAGCTGTACAAAGCAAGTCCAACTAAGGAACACATAGCTAGACTAGGTCTGCTGAGTCAAAAACTTTAGTCCTCTGATATAGTAGATAGCTGTGTCATAATAATAAATCCTTGTGTAATGTAAAATTTATTCTTCCACCATTATAAGTCAGGAGCAATCTTCCTAATGTCAGTGAGCTATAAGAAGGGAAAGAGAACTAGGGTAATATACATGGGGAAAAGATCTGGAAAAAGATGGAGGGTACACAAAATAAAATTATGTTTGGACTTACTTTAGCCTCTGACTTTTAATCACTATTTGAAAGCTTTTATCACTTGGTAATTTGGAAACATCTGTCCAGCTGGTTGAGTCTGAATGCTTATCTTTTTATAAGTGTGTGTGTACACACAGTTCTTTTATGGAACTGAAAATTTACTGCATATCTGGCTTCTGTTGATATATGAAATCCACAACTGTGCTTTATTTCCTCAACTTCCTTCATACAGGATGGTCCGCACACTGTATGCCATCGGTGCCTTGTTTCTTTTGATGGGATTTCTGCTTCCAGCAGTGGAAGGGAGAAAGAGGAATCGTGGATCTCAAGGTGCTATCCCTCCTCCTGACAAAGATCAGCCCAATGATTCAGAGCAAATGCAGACACAACAGCAGTCAGGTTCCAGGCATCGAGAACGAGGAAAAGGCACCTCAATGCCTGCTGAAGAGGTGCTGGAATCCAGTCAGGAGGCTTTGCACATCACTGAGCGCAAATACTTAAAGCGGGATTGGTGTAAAACTCAACCCCTCAAACAAACTATCCACGAGGAAGGCTGCAACAGTCGTACCATTATCAACAGGTTCTGCTATGGCCAGTGCAATTCCTTCTACATCCCCAGGCATGTCCGTAAAGAAGAAGGTTCCTTCCAGTCTTGTTCCTTCTGTAAGCCCAAGAAATTCACCACCATGACTGTTACACTCAATTGCCCTGAGCTTCAGCCCCCAAGAAAGAAGAAAAGAATCACCCGAGTCAAGGAATGCCGGTGTATATCTATTGACCTGGACTAAACTGAGACAAAAGTTGCAATTGCACTCTAACTGTACTCAATCATTGCCAGCGTGAGAGTGAGTGGCATGAACTAGCATACCTTCAAGGCTGGACAAAACTGAAAGGGACCTAGTGAATTACCTAAAACCAGCAAAAACCCTCCAAAGAGAAAGAAAAAATTGATGTAAGGAAAGGGCATGCATGTGTGTGTGTGTAAGGGAGAAAATGGATATGTATAAGCAAATATCTCAATGTTCACTAAAAAAAAAAAAAATTAACAGGGGTATGAAATATTGAAAAAATGCTATTTACTCACAATCATGAATTAGGGTTCCTAGCGTATATCCACATTTTTGTGGCTTGCTGGGAAAGTGGAGCTGTGGGTTTTGTGAATGTTCACCTTTTGTGCTATTTGCTTTTACTGTATTACATGAAACATCAAAGTGAGAGGACAATACGTTTGAAAGCATGAATCTATTCTTATATACAAAATAGACAAAATGCAGTTTAAAGTGTAGCAAAGCCATCACTGAAAATAGCAGCCATGTCAAGAGTTTGTAACATGCTTCTTCAGAAAAATAGCTGTAATCCAAAAGCCATGTCTGGGGAACAATGGGGGGATGTGGTAGTGTTGAAAAGTCACTATAGGTGGATGGAAAACAGAGCTACATCAGCTTAGAAAGAAAAAGGCCAAAGCAAGTAGTCAGGGAGAGTACAAAAGGGAGTAGAAAAAGGAAAGATACACAAATAGGAAGACACAGAGGAAGAGATATTGTCTTCTGTTTATGTTTTGCTTTAATTTATATACCTAGTCATATATTACATAAATTAAAAAGAAACTATATACAAGGCTATAAATATACTTCTGAATTCTAATGGTTCTCTAAACCAATCAAACCCCACTCTTATGCTACTAGATTCATTTGATGTCTTGTATTTCTGATATCAGTTATTCTTCATATCTACATATATATGTATATGCAGTATCTTTTAGTCAGTGATATCTATACATACATGCAATGAGTATGCATACTTCAGTGTGTGTATCCAAACTCCTTCTCTTTTTCACACACAGACATAAAAAACACATAACCACAGCACAAAAATCTTGCTAACCCAGATCAAGTACAGAATGGCAGTAATTTAATACATAAAGAGCAAAGCAAAAATTAAAACAAGCATCATGTGACTTCAAATGCAATAACCACACAAGAGACAAAAGACACGACATTCATGACTAGTAAACATTGCATTGTTATTGTTATTTTAGCTTTGCCACAGGCATGCAGTTTGTTGAAACAGAGATGCAGAACTTTGCCAGCAATAATTTTCTTTTTATATCTTTTGCCACAGACTTGCATTTAAACTGGATTTGGAGTAAGTACAGAAAATTTCCTGAAAATTGAGGGCTAACTGACCCTCTCATTTGGGGGAAAGAAAACATAGAAGGGGATGCACTGCTTCCGACAGCTCGATGACTCTCACCTGTGAGGTTATCCTGCCTTTTCTTTCCTTCAGGATTAGAAGCTTAAACTTGATCAGGGGGTTTTGTAAGAGCACAGAAGGCCCTGCAAAAGAAGTTGGTTTAGCGGGGTGTGTTCTGGGCCATTGGACCAGAAAGGCAGCCCTTCCATGCATGTAGCCCTTGCTTTCCCATGTGCTTAATGGGAAGCCTGGCAGTTGTCTCCCTGGCAGCATCTCACACCACATGGTGTGCAGACTGCTCCTGCTGTCCTGGGTGCTGCCTTTGCAAGGGCACTTTCAGGCCAGGTGCTGAAGAGCTTACAGGGTGCTGCAACCTCCCTGCCTGTGCTGTGCCTGTCCCTGTGCCTGTGCCTGCAGGGCCTCGGCAGCTGATCCTGTCCAGTGGGTGCCGAAGTAAAGGAGTGTTCCTGTGTGAGAGTCAGCACCGGGCCTGAAAGCAACCCTGACCTCACTGATATGAGTGAAATGGGAGTTAGGTCCTCACTTACTGTATGAAGAGTCATTGATAGTTCAGAACTAGGTTTCCCCACCCAGTAGCAACATTTTCCAGTATCCACTATCTGCATAACTGTTCTCTCTCACATCAGATGCCTCTCTCTCAGCCACAAGGTGATTATTTTGACACCATTTCTTGCCATTGAATGCTGAGGAAGACAATTCCACCCTTAGTAACATGTCCAAAGGGAAAAATATACAATGAGTCACAAGTCACAGATTCATCCTGTTTGGACTCATTATATTAGTTGTCCCACCTGTTATACAGTGCATCAGGTGATATCCTGCATCTCTAGAATTAATCTATTTTTACTTTAAAATCCACTGCTGTGTAGGCTGCGTTTGTAAGATGAAGAGATTGCAACTCACTGATTGATATTATAAAAATGCATTTCATTCGGTGTACTCTCACTCAGCAGGTTTGACACATTTCTTCATGGATTTTAGAATCCAATTTTAAAATCTGGAATTATAGGAGGTAGATTTCCACTGTGTGGAATGTGAATAGTTAAACAGAAAGATACAGATATTTAATGTTATTATTAATACAAATTCTCTTTCACTGATAATAGGCAGGGATTGTTTTCCTTTAAATTACTTGTTTGATTTTTATTTTTTTTCAGAGGAAAGGGCCAACCTCAGTCATGGCTGAAAGTTTTGGAGTAGCTTAGGTTTCTGTCCAAGAAATGGGAACACCTTAAGAATGAATTTTTTCTTCATGTAAATTTGACAGCAGAATTCCCATTGTCTTTGACAGGGACGGCTATGTCCCTATACTCTTAGCTGTTAAGCAAAGCTTCAAACATTATTGTCTCCTTTATTTAAGATTAGGCTAGCATTCTGAAGGAAAATTGATAAAAGTATTCAAAATCCTTATGCTCCAAAACCGCCTGTGCATAGATCATGACAGAACTCCCCTTGAGGCAGATCCTTCCCTCCCCCATGTAAATTTTATACAAAGAACTTTTATGAATTGCTAGTTATTGCCTGAGAGTAAGAAAGTTCTGCTAACTTACAATTATACTAGATATTTAATATCAACCACAATATGTATTTAAATGTCTGCTTTATTCTAAAAACAATGGACTATATAACCTAAGGCTGGAGTATTTTCATGCTCAGTCTCACAAAGCAAAACTTGGTTTAAATGAAGTTTTAATTATTTTGTAACTGAATAGAATTGGAGGTTTTTTTTCCCAGCATTTTGTACGTCATTTTAACTACTAGTAACAAATAAATAAAATATCTTCTCTAGCCCGTGTCTATTGTTGTTTTTTTTTTTTTCTTTCTTCCTTAAGTTTCCAGCTCTTTCTGGATCTGTTGTACTTTACTCTGACTTCTGTGGTTTCTTCTAATTATAAAGGGGTTTACATTATGACAGCGAGACACAGAGACAAGCAATGGCACCATCATTCAATATGGCTACTTCAATGAGGTTTTTAAATGAGATCTGTCACTTCCCCCTCACCCTTCCACAGTTTATAGAAGGAAAATCTCAATCTTAACTCACACTTTCCCCCTTGTAAACCATATAGTGACAGTTCAAAATATAAATCAGTCTTGAATTGTTGGAGTGTAAGTTGGAGTCGGCATGCCTGCCTTACACCACATCTCAGTTTTATGTCTAGCTAGCAGTTTAGTCCTACCTTTAGGAAAAAGAGTAAGGAACACCTTTACAATACAGCACGTTACAAGTTGCAAATAGGGACAGAGGAGATGAAAAACAATTATAAAAGAGAACAGGAAGATTTGCCCCTGCTGGCAGCATTGGCACAAGGCCAGGGTTGAGGAAGGACTGCAACTAGAGAGAACAGGTTTCTTCAAACTTTCTATATCACCGGTGGGAAACAGGCAGTAGTGATATAAATTTTAACTCTCCAGCCTGCCACCTTGCCAGACCTGTGATGGACTGGGTTGGGGCAGGGCAGAGCTCGATGCAGTGCTGCCATCTCCAGTAGCGGTGGCATTGGCTGCCCTTGTGATGCCAGCTGCTTTGCTAGGGACTGCCATCCTGTTGAACCAGGCTGAGAACCTCCTCTGATTTCATGTGAACCTCTGAGCAGTGATACAGGCCTAGTAATTTTCAGACTTACACCTTTTAGTTCAAAAAAATGAGTGACATAGTCAGATACACAGTTATATGGGGGAACAACATGCAGTGTTTTCCTGTGACACAAAAAGCAACAACTAGAGAAAAAAGGTCAGATGCCCCATTTCCAGCTCTGAAAAGCTGGGTGCTGGTAAGATCCAGTGTGTTCTTCCCTGACACAACAAAGGAGCTGAACAGTCCAGTAGTACTGCTTGTCTGGGGACTTCTAAAGGTTTTTTAGTTTAGTCTTCCTTCTCTTCTAGTATTTTTGTGCTTCTAAAACTTACTGAAAAGATAATAACATTAGCTAATACTCATTATTTTTAGAAGGTGATTGACTTTTTCTGGTTGAGATATAGGCACAGCTGAGTAGAATGTTTCCTTGAAAAGATGTGCATATATATCTTTATCTGAATATTTTAAACAGAGAAAAACCTTGTGGCCTTACCTTTGTAGTACTCTGTAGTACCATGGTCTTATTATTTACACGCTAACAAGCTCAGACATTCATTAAATTTCATATTTGTCCTACATACCAGCTTTGAATTAATGATACTTCCACTGTGAAGTCCCATGGGCTTTACAGATAATTACGCTGATCCAAAGAAGATAACAGAGAGAGAATTCACACACCTTAATCTGCTTCTAGGGATGCAGATAGAAATGACTATTCTTCTCTCTCTCCCCAGTGAGATAGGCTAGATTTCTGTGTGTGCCATGCAGTTGATTCACACATGCGTTGTAGGACTGAGGCATCAGGAGAATGTTAGATTTGCTAAGCACGTGTGCACATCTGAGCAGCAGATGCACACAGTAGGTATAGTGTGGCCTGGATGGGTCAGTGGGACAGATGGCATCGTGGCTCTGCTCCAGCTGCCTGTCAGCAGTGGTTCCTGGCTGGGAAGAGGGACATTGCATTTGCAAAAACAACGTGGTAACTTCACCTTGTAATTTACCTTCTTCTGAGTAGAGGAAAAAAATAAAAAAATGAGAGCAATTAGAATTGCACCCTTGGGGACTGATGTTCCTTTTCCAGCGTACAGGAGTAAACAGAGTTTTTAGTTTCAAAAGGTTTCCTGAAGGAGAACAACCAAGTCAGTGGCAGAAGACTGAGAAGTCCTGTTTGCTTAACAAAATTATGCCTTTGCACACTCTTCCTTTGCATTTTAAAACACTTAGATCCTATTCACTCCAAATAACTCAAACCTGCCTTAGAAATTACTTCATTAATTACTGAGATACAACAGTCAATATCGGCAGAAGAAGGCCCAATATTTTTTCTGAGTCATGCTGCTTGCTTGGATGGTTGCACTAACTAAAGTTCTGAATACTTCTGAAGGTGATAGTTGCATCATTTAAAATTTCATGGAGTGAAAAATTAATGTGTATTTGGATTTAGGCAAAACAATTAAGATATTTTTAATACCCATCAGCTCTTGGCCTTAAGGTATCAAAAATATTAATCATAATAAGATTCAGACACCTTGTTTTATTTTTTTAATCAGCTGAGACCGAAACCAGAACTTCACAGCAATGCACAGATATCACAAGGCATCCCAGCGCAGATTTTTGATACTACCTTGTAATGTAGCTTCAGAAAAACATCTGAAGCCTGTCTTCACTGCCTGCCTGAAAATGTAGCTGATGACTCTAAGGTGCTCTTTGACAATGTGTGACTTCTGGCTGCCTGAATTCCTTCTCTAGCTTTCGTGGGTCTGGATGGAGGAGTACAGAAATTTTAACTGTCACTTGCTCCCTTTCTTAATATTTTCTAAGAGTCTTGAAAATAAAATTTATAATTGGCTTTTTTTGAATGATCAAAGAGAAAGATACAAGGATTAAATTCTATACTGACATAAAATATGCTTGTTTGAGATCACATTAAAACCCCCCAAACTTCTAGGTTGTGATAAGTAATAACTTCTTGCTGTGATACAAAAGTAAATCACATAGCTTGGGGATGGATCAAATAGAGAAATTACACTGACTCACAATTAATGTTCTGCAAAGAAAATTTGAATTCCTATGTTTGCATTTCTTTTTTAAAGAATGCCTCGTGGAAAAAGTCATATTCTAATTCATATTACAAGAGAGCAAAAGAAAAATGGTTAAAAAATATCTCTCTCTAGAATATTTGAGAGCTATATCTTATCCTTCTGCCTAGTAATATCCATAAAGTTTCCAGCAATAAAGCAATTGGAAAAATTAATGTGTCGGTTACAGCTCATCTGGGACAGAACACCCCAATTCATTAATCATAATTTTATAGTTATTGCAGGGCATCACTACTGAGCACTGTTGAGATTGTTTGATTCATATAATGACGAATTTGCAGACCTTAATATTGTTTTTCTTTAAATTCAACTTTTGTATTTTCTGTATTTAAGAAAAAAGACATATTCTCAATCTTAGCTCTGTATTAATGTATACTTATATAGAGACAATTAAAAAATTGTGCTAAATAGATGTAACATAAATGTATTTATCTCTTTAAACAAAGGTATCAAAACCCTAGGTTCACATTAGATATATTTAAAAGTCTGAAAAATGTATATTGGATAAGATTATACATAAAAGTATTGGCCACTGAGCCAAGCTTCTTAACTACACACTTTAAGAGTGATTAATATGGAATAAAGCCAACAATGACACTAGTTACAATAGTAGTCAAGAAGAATTTATTTTTCAAGGATGGAGACAGAGTTGTGTGTACTTGGTAAAGTTTATTTCTAGAGAATTACACTTAATGGCAAAGATAAAGTCTTGCTGAACTTCTTTCTTTAAGACCTGAAGGACCTTGAATGTTCCTTCGGAAACAGATGTTCAAGAGGAACATGATTTCTATTTTTGTTGTTAATTTGTTTCAACTTCAAATGAATGAAGCGGCTAGAATTCGGGTGTTAAATTAGATTTAGCAAATAAAAAGGAGAAAGAAAACTATGTGTACAATGGAACGGACTTATTGAATGGATCTAAATCCTATGGTAGGTAATTTGATCTAATTTTTGCAGAAAGGCAAATGCCAGATGTTTGCTCCACTTTGATCTTAATAACACTTTAGGCTGCAGACAATAAGATTGGTTTAAAATTTATTGTCTCTTTGATTTCTTCATTCTAATGCTTTTTAAATTCTTTACACAAGACAGATCTATATATAGGCAACTCGGGTGGCATCAGAAGCACTGTATACTTAAGACATTCTTGAAAACCTCAGTATGGAACAGTGTTTGCTGTTTTATGCATCAAAACAAAGCCAGATTTTATACAAGCAACATTCAATTTTCATTTTATTATAATGTCTCTTTTTATTTTGCATATGATGTTCTGACTGTCGCATCTGTGCCACAGCTCCTTATGCTTTTATCTTTCAATAACCTTATTAAAAGTCAAGACAATATATTAAATCAACATTAAGCAGCAGGAGTTGAAAGTTAAGCTAATCCATTCCTTTGCACTGGGAGTATAATCTGTGTGGATCTCTAATTTCACCATTGAGTTGCTTTTAGGATTCTATTGTACAGAATATGCTTTTTAAAAGGAGAGCTGCTGCTGAAGACACTAGTAAAAGCCTCTGAGAAATCATAACATCCAAGAGGTGTTCAACTTGCCTTCAGTTTGCATCTTCACATTCAAGGAGGCCATTGCTCTGTGAATGTGTACTGAACTCATCTTACAGCTGTTTTTTAAGTGGTGTCAGGTTTCTAGCAGAGTATCTTGTATATTCACTATTACTGAGAAATGATGAAAAGCAAGTGAGACAGAACAAACAGTAGAGCAAGAACAATGATTAAAAAGAAACAAATAAAAAAATCCTGGTGTACACCCTGAATGTCTTATCATGATTCTCTGGCACAGTTCGGAGCCATCTGTCCCTTAGATCCATGCATGATGTCTGAACAATTGCTTTTATTCTGCTCAGCCCAGTAGTCTGAAAGTTCAAAAAGTCAGAGTCAGTTTTCCTCTGAAGGAAACTCTGAATTTTATCTGGTGATGAAACTCCCATCACTCAGCCAACTGAGAGAAGAGCTACTCTGACAGGTCTTCTTAAACAGTCAGCATTGATGGACTATCAGAAGTTGGCAGCCTCCTTACTCCTGTACCACCAAGTTTAGTTCTTTCAACAAACTCCTTTGCAAACCAAAAGAAAAATTCCTTC